TAGATAGATAGATAGATAGATAGATAGATAGATAGATAGATAGATAGATAGATAGATAGATAGATAGATAGATAGATAGATAGATAGATAGATAGATAGATAGATAGATAGATAGAGATAGATAGATAGATAGATAGATAGATAGATAGATAGATAGATAGATAGATAGATAGATAGATAGATAGATAGATAGATAGATAGATAGATAGATAGATAGATAGATAGATAGATAGATAGATAGATAGATAGATAGATAGATAGATAGATAGATAGATGGATAGATAGATATAGATAGATAGATAGATAGATAGATAGATAGATAGATAGATAGATAGATAGATAGATAGATAGATAGATAGATAGATAGATAGATAGATAGATAGATAGATAGATATATAGATAGATAGATAGATAGATAGATAGATAGATAGATAGATCGATAGACAGGTAGATAGATAGATAGATAGATAGATAGATAGAGTAGATAGATAGAGATAGATTAGATAGATAGATAGATAGATAGATAGATAGATAGATAGATAGATAGATAGATAGCTAGATAGATAGATAGATAGATAGATAGATAGATAGATAGATAGATAGATAGAGATAGATCGATAGATAGGATAGATAGATAGATAGATAGATAGATAGATAGATAGATAGATAGATAGATAGATAGATAGATAGATAGATAGATAGATAGATAGATAGATAGATAGATAGATAGATAGATAGATAGATAGATAGATAGATAGATAGATAGATAGATAGATAGATCGATAGACAGTAGATAGATAGATAGATAGATAGATAGATAGATAGATAGATAGATAGATAGATAGATAGATAGATAGATAGATAGATAGATAGATAGATAGATAGATAGATAGATAGATAGATAGATAGATAGATAGATAGATAGATAGATAGATAGATAGATAGATAGATAGATAGATAGATAGATAGATAGATAGATAGATAGATAGATAGATAGATAGATAGATAGATAGTAGATAGATAGATAGATAGATAGATAGATAGATAGATAGATAGATAGATAGATAGATAGATAGATAGATAGATAGATAGATAGATAGATAGATAGATAGATAGATAGATAGATAGATAGATAGATAGATAGATAGATAGATAGATAGATAGATAGATAGATAGTAGATAGATAGATAGATAGATAGATAGATAGATAGATAGATAGATAGATAGATAGATAGATAGATAGATAGATAGATAGATAGATAGATAGATAGATAGATAGATAGATAGATAGATAGATAGATAGCTAGATAGATAGATAGATAGATAGATAGATAGATAGATAGATAGATAGATAGATAGATAGATAGATAGATAGATAGATAGATAGATAGATAGATAGATAGATAGATAGATCGATAGATAGATAGATAGATAGATAGATAGATAGATAGATAGATAGATAGATAGATAGATAGATAGATAGATAGATAGATAGATAGATAGATAGATAGATAGATAGATAGATGTGTTCTATGTGGATCGATGTTGGACCATGTTGGACCACATCATTCCACATCATCGTGTAAGTATATTCACTCGAACAACAGAGAAGTCTTCGAGAACAAATGGTAATGTAGAGAAAACAACTATCAGGGACATAATAGCAGTTTGGCAATCAGTATAAATTCTGATATCCCTGTTGGATATCCGATAGTACCTCAGCCAATTTGACGCCCTCTGGATCGCTTATATTTCAGCTTTCAGGATACTATAATCAACATTTAGTCTAAATGAGATTTTAGTTCCAAATTTCTCAATAAAGATGCCTCCACCAACACCTTTCACACGGAAGTAATTTGTAGATAGAAGCAGGAGACTCCGAAGAGATGTGATATGAGGACTGCCTCGGAAGAGGCAGTTCCCTTGATTGCTGCATCCTCGGTTCCGGGATGCAGTAATCAAGGGAATGAAGGGGTTGCGGTATAAGATCAACGATTTTCGCATTACCCCTAGAACAAGTGTTCCATTTGCCATTAAAACTTAATCAGTGCGTTATTTGAATTTTGTTAAAAAAAAAAATCTTTTTTTTTAGAAAACAAATGACATTTAAAGAAATCATCTCATCATAAACACCAAAGTTATAAATATTTTTAAAATAATTTTGAATCATAACAAAAAAATATTTTTTTTGCTAAATTATGTAAAAAAGTTACATCCTATAGAGTTTAAACATTTAACTCTTAGATCATTTCCGCAGACATCATTATTAAATAAGGATACTTTAATACATAAAATAAAAACTATTAAATCTACATACTACTTCCTGTTCTCAGACAAACTCTACATCCATATTTATTAATATACATATGTATGTATATAAAACAAATTACATTTGTAGTAGTTGTAACTAATATTTATTGTTATTGCAGACAAAACAAAATCGTGTACATACAATACATAACATACCTATGTATATTTTGCATAAATTATATATTTGTATGTGAATTGGTGTGAAAAATTATTTAAAATTTACGAATTGGAATAACAAAAACCATTTGTTTGCTGCTAATATGTATATAAACAAAAAAATGACAACAACAAAAGCGGTTAAAACAATAATAAGTACAAAAAAATATATAAAAATTTAAAAAAATAAATATTTAACAAAAAAATCAACTGGAGGGAAATCAAATATAAATAATATTGAAAATAAAACAAAAACAAAATTAAAGCACATATATGCAAAAAACCAAAAAGTAAAAAAATTCAAATCAATTAACAGAGTAACAAAGAAGAGAAGAAACATAATGTAAGAAAATATAAAATATATCAATTAGAATACTTTATTAAAAAAATTATTTAAAGAAATGAGTTAAAAAAAAATACAAATATTTCAAGAATTTTGAAAACTACTTTCGCTTGGCCCAAATCAATTTACTTGTGGAAATTATAATATTTCACTCTATAACTCAAACACTTAGAACTCGTATTTGGCCAAGAGCACAAAGCAATTGTATATAGAATTCATCATCAGAATACGTATGATGGTGGTATTATTATTTAAACAAAACCAACTACAATAATGTGTACTAAGAGTACACAGCAATTGAAATTATTAACAAAATATAAAAAAAAAAAATTATAAAAGAGGCAAAATATCGTATTGAAATAATTTTATTCAATTTCTTTTTTAAACATACAATTTTATAGGAATATAATATGGATATAAGTTTTTTTTTTTGTTGTAGGCAGATTTAGAGTGGTTGTCATTGATTTGCCAAAGAGAGTTTGTTTTTATTTAATGAATCTAAATAAATAAACAAATATAAATATAAAATAATAATGAACAGAGTATGGGTACATAGAACCCACATGGTAAAACTAAAGTACGCAAATAAAGTTGGTGATATAGTTTATTGGGGAAATACCAGAGATTTCAAGGTTAACTTTAAATAAATATCCGATATTAAATAGATGTCATTAGAGTATTAGGAAAGCTGAAAAAAAGATATTTAAATTACTAGGAATTTTAATACTTAACCTAGTTTTAATCGAAAAAAATGTGTTTTTTACTGACGAATTAAAATATAAACAGTTTGAATTGGAACAGAGAGAAAGGGATCCGACCAATATTATAAACTAACAACTTCATTTTGTAAAATGAATCTTCATGCGTTGAAATTTTGTATTTTCATAAAAATTTTTAAAAATAAAAACACTATTTATATGGAAATTAAATGAAGTTAGCGGAAGGCGTTCACAAAATAACCCCTAAGTCCTGTTATCCATTTATAGAACGACCCACAAGGAGATATAACGCTAAAAAAAAACCAAAGAATTTTAGAATTCAATTGGTAGAAGCTGTTCAATTACGGAAACAGTTTCTCCAGCGTTCTTTTAAAAAGTATAGTCGAACATGCCCGAATGTATGATTCCTTATACTATTAGAGTGGATTTCGGAAGGATTCTACGTGGGCTTTGGGTCAATTATGTGCTCTAGTAAGCTTAAAACTAGTAGTTTTTAGCGCATTTTTGGCGACGAACTACTTTTGTTTTTGAACCCCATAAAGCTTGATGGATGGTTTTATGTTCCTATAAAACTTATTCCTATCGAATTTCATGACGATATTAATATTCATATGATAATTATGGAAGTTAATTACGTCAATTACAAAAACCGGAAGTTCTCCGATTTATGTAAAAATTACTTGAGCCATATTTTACAAAGATACTTGTGTATTTATCAGAATTATGATCTAAAAAGCACAAGTTGGAGGGTCCAAAATAACGAACCGATTTCAAGCAGTCATAGACTTAGTACTTGGCTCAAAAGCAATCTTTGTGCCAAATTTCCTTAAATTATATTAAAAATAGAGATCTGTGTTTGATAAAAACGTTTACACGGAGATAGGGACATACGGTTGGACAGACATTGTTAAATTGACTCAGAAAGTTATTCTGAGTCGACTGTTATACTTTAAGGTGGGTGGAGGACTATCTGCAACTTCCACTATAATGGTGTAGGGTATAAAGTCAGAATAGTCGGTCATTCTCAATCATATGATACACTTTGATTTAAAGTTTTCAATAAATTCTGAGAGAAAATGTCTATGGGAGTTCTGTGATCGATTTAAATCAAAATCAATGGGGTTCATTCACTAACCAAAAAAGTAAATTACTAAAATTACAAACTGTAGTTTTATTACCAGGTTTACCATAGACAGACAAACGGAGAATCACTATTAAATCGACTCAAAATGTTTAGGGATTGTTGATTAAATATACATTCTAAAGTTCTTGGATACAACTGAGAAAATAAACAAAAAGTATTAATGAATAAATAGCTATCACACAGCAGCTGGTAATGGTCATAGTAGTGGTTACACCCACTCGCTCATCACCGGAATTGAAATGAACTTGAATTGCAGAAATTGTATCATAAATTGAGAACAAGTTTGTTGAATTGTTTAAATAATTAATAAACATAAGTTAATATTTACCTAAAATAGTACGTAAATGACGTAAACGTGATGCTGAATCCTTTTTGCAATCCTGCAATTTCGCAGTGGATTTTTTAATATCGGCATGAGATTTTTTAGTAAACATTATATTTGTTTATTTAGATAATTGTGTATTTTGATGTTGTTATATATCTTTTATTAGGTATTTTTAAACTTGTTTATCATTTTCTGTATTTTCTTTTTCGTTTTTATTGGTATTTGGAGTAATTAATAAGATTTTCTTTTTTATAACAAATATTCACACTTCTTTTTGTTGTTGGTAACTATTGTACATATTTTTAACGTTATTGCTGTTGTATATCATAGCAATAATAATAATAATAATAATAATGTTATTGTTGTAACGTCTCTGTTGATGATGACGAATAACTAACTCCCGCGACAGGTGCCTTCTTAACTTTTTCTCCACTACAGCCCCTTTGTATTTGTGCTGCTGCAGCTACTTTTTGACTCCATTAAAAAATATTTATTGTTGTTATTATTGTATTAGTTGTTGTGGCTGTAGTATGGACGGCAGTGGCAAAAATTTAATGTTTTTTTCACTACTCTGCGTTTGCTTTCGTGGTTTTCTTTTTTTCATTTTGCATTCTTTTGCCCGTTTTTTTTTTTCTTCTCTTTTTTTCACTTACAAACACCTTACAATTATATTTTTTAAAACAATTTTTTGGCTATTTATATTTGGATTTTCTTCTGTTACTTTATTTTTCCATAAACTTTAGCACTTAAATTGTATTTTTCTGCAAAATTTAATAATTTTCTTGACTATTTTACTATTGAAAAATCGTTGTAAAAATTCTTGTTTCATGCGTTGTAAAAAAAATAATAATTGTGTTGGTGAAAACTGTTGACGTTTCTGAATTGTGTCAGAGTTGTATTGTTGAGGTAGTATTAAGGTGTAATATTTGAGCAAAAGGTAGTAGAATTTGCTGCCTATTTTTGCAATTGTTATTTTGTTTACGTATAAGGTGAAGGAAAATATACGATAATTAAGTGTTGGAAAGTTTTTAAAAGTTCTGAACTTGCATTAGACGTTAGAAATGGACTATTGCTTTTAATTTTAAAAATTAAAATAATATAAATAAAGTGTTTTAAATCTAACAATTTGTTCAACACAATTTGGATTTGTGTCCACATGTGGCAAAGGAAATCTCAGAAATTATCCCAGGGTCTTAATTATGATGCAGGGGACCCATGTTGGTATTGGTATATATTTTTTAACTTGTAATTTGTTGGCGGTGGATTAAAACACTCAACATGCCAGGTAAACCCCCGTTGGTTCGGAGAGAGCCCTCCAATTGACCGATACCTTTATATGGGAAGTTGGAGCCTCGAACAATTAATCAAAAGTATTATTTGGTCTCTACCAATTTAATCAAACATAATTTAATCAAACATAAAAAGCAATTAATGCATACAACGCATAACTTGGTGCGAGTAAGACGTAGCTCTGTCGAAAACTTGGCAACAAACACAAGCCTGATCGTCCTTAAGAAATAATGGCGATGACGCGAGAGTTTTTCCCCAACTCAGACCTCAATTACTGACTGAGTATTGGTATAACTAAATAAATATAACGTATTGGTACTGGGTAGCAGTTTAATCTTTGGGACTGGGAACTTTTTCCTACTAAAATTAAACTTTTTTTTCGAATATACCAGAATCTTAGGAATTAGGATAAAGTTTAATAAAAATGCCATGTTATAGCAAAAATAACATTTTAAATAAAACCATAACTGGTAGAAATCATTTATTGGTCGACTAAGCCCGACTAGGCTTTGATTTTGAACTGCATTCAAAAAACCATTACACTGGGGACTACTGTATTAATTGACAAACTTAATATTTAACTGTAAAATTAACCAAAAAAGCAACAACAAAGGGAACCTTACTCAATTTGAATATGTACTACATACAACTAAGATGGAAGCATTACTTTCCTCAAAAAAAAACAAAAGATTAAAATATACTCTCTAAACTCTCTGACGTACATACATACATATGTATGTATTCACATGTATATAGCTAATGACTGTGACTTAAAGTTAAAACTTGTTTTTGGAGGTTTTCCCTAAAACCCAACAAAATCAAATCTAATAAATCATTTTTCAATACTTTGTTCTTACACCTCATAGGTAATTCTCTTAAAAAACCGGAATATAAAATTTAAAGAAGTTTTTTGCTTCCTTCCACTGTTTTTGTTCTGCAACAACAGTAACAATTCTTACTAATTCGCAAGTCTTCTTGATCTCTTTCTTTAAGATTAAGCAAACAAAATATTGATAGTATATTGAAAGAGATCGTATTTGTATGTGCTTACGCTCTGGATTAAAGACATCTTAATGATTTTTTGTTGGCAAGTTTTTAAGTTTTGTATGTAGCTGCTACCTATTGGCTGAACCTCATCAATAGTTATCAACAGATTCTCTAATTGGACGGTTGTTTTGATTTTTTTTCGTTCAATTTAATTACAGTTTTTATTTATTTTTAATTTTTGTTTAATTTATTAATAATATTTGCGTCAAATTATTGTTTTTGTGTTTATACTTGAAAAAAAAAAAAACAATATTGAATACCATTATGTTCGGTTTAATTAAACACCTTGTTTGTATTCTATTGGTTTTGCAATTCGCTTTGGGTGACTTGTTATTCCCCGAATATCAAGCTGTAGATAAGAAAAAATCCAATTTAGCCGTAAGTATGTTTCATTTTCACAGAATTAAGTTTTTTCTTTTTTTAGCTAGCATCAGTAATGTTATCAGACTTTTTACAACCATCTATACGTAATTTAAGACGTCGTAGCAGATTTTTACAAAAACTATTTTGTGTTTAACAAAAACAGCAGTTCTATATTTAAATCCATGAGTGAAAGTGATATTTATTTTCTTTAAGCAAAATTTACATTATCTTTTCTTAATGATTTGATATTATTTTTGGGGTCAAATTATAAACTTATTTTTGTTTCATTTAATCAAAATCAGTCCAATAACTAAGACTATAAAAGTTTTTTGCTAGATTATTTTTATAAGAGAGCTAGTTTTTAGTATAAAGTTTAAATTGGTTAAACTTAGCTTAAATTTAAGATTTCAGAAATTTCGAATTGTATTTCAGAAGTTTTCATTATATTGCAGAAATCTTTGATTCTAGTTTAGTTCCAGTTCAGTTTTAGTTCAGTTCTAGTTCAGTTCTAGTTCAGTTCTAGTTCAGTTCTAGTTCAGTTCTAGTTCAGTTCTAGTTCAGTTCTAGTTCAGTTCTAGTTCAGTTCTAGTTCAGTTCTAGTTCAGTTCTAGTTCAGTTCTAGTTCAGTTCTAGTTCAGTTCTAGTTCAGTTCTAGTTTCAGTTCAGTTCTAGTTCAGTTCTAGTTCAGTTCTAGTTCAGTTCTAGCTCAGTACTAGTTCAGTTCTAGTTCAGTTCTAGTTCAGTTCTAGTTCAGTTCTAGTTCAGTTCTAGTTCAGTTCTAGTTCAGTTCTAGTTCAGTTCTAGTTCAGTTCTAGTTCAGTTCTAGTTCAGTTCTAGTTCAGTTCTAGTTCAGTTCTAGTTCAGTTCTAGTTCAGTTGTAGTTCAGTTCTAGTTCAGTTCTAGTTCAGTTCTAGTTCAGTTCTAGTTCAGTTCTAGTTCAGTTCTAGTTCAGTTCTAGTTCAGTTCTAGTTCAGTTCTAGTTCAGTTCTAGTTCAGTTCTAGTTCAGTTCTAGTTCAGTTCTAGTTCAGTTCTAGTTCAGTTCTAGTTCAGTTCTAGTTCAGTTCTAGTTCAGTTCTAGTTCAGTTCTAGTTCAGTTCTAGTTCAGTTCTAGTTCAGTTCTAGTTCAGTTCTAGTTCAGTTCTAGTTCAGTTCTAGTTCAGTTCTAGTTCAGTTCTAGTTCAGTTCTAGTTCAGTTCTAGTTCAGTTCAGTTCTAGTTCAGTCTAGTTCAGTTCTAGTTCAGTTCTAGTTCAGTTCTAGTTCCGTTCTAGTTCTGTTCTCGTTTAGTTCTCGTTCAGTTCTAGTTCATTTGTAGTAAAATTTATCGAAAATGTTCCTTAAACAAAATGTAATAAATTATTTCCATTACAGGGTCGCACTCCTCTATACGCACCTTCTCGCTGCAAACAACACGAATTGCTATATCCTGGTGATCAAGTTAATGACTGGATTTGTGACTGTGCCCCAGGTATAATTAATTTTTATTATCGAAAATAAAATGCTTTAAAATACAATTTCATTTTTCTCTCAGCTGCTCTATACCACCCTGAAACTGATGCTTGTTATCCTGCCTTCCGTAGAGGACCCTGTGAGGATGGAGAATTCTTAGTCTTGGGTGATAATGCCGTATTACCCGTATGCATAGCCAACGATTGTAAAGTCGATGGTCAGATTAAAATTAAAGGTGTTTGTTATGAATTTGGTAAAGCTGGAGCTTGTAAAGATTCCCATCTCTCCTATGTAATTGGTGTTAATCCTCAAACTTTACACGTGGATTGTGTTAAATTGTCCATATCATTGGAATCACGTTTTGGTGAAGAACCTCAGCATTCGTATGACTTGACCAATGTCGATTTATGTGCCCGTGGTTGTAAGAGAGCCATACAGGGACGTTGTCCAGGACGGAAATAAAGAAACTGGTTTTCTCAAATATTTTTTTTTAACAAAAATAAACTATTATTATTTAACTTTAACAATATAAATTTAAAATAGACTTAATGAAGACAATTACAAAAATGTTTACAATAATAAATCGCCACCATTACCATTTTAAATGTTAGGTTTCTTTTACAAGTTTTCTAGAGCGTTTAGCATTGACCTTTTGTACTGTTGTTGTCGTTGTTGTTGCCCCATCTTCTTCTGGTGTCTGTTCTACCGATATATCGTCATCCTCTTCGGCTATACCTTCCACAGACTCTTCTGCCGAAGCTTCCATTTTAAGCATACTATTTTCGAAAGAAGCCAAAAATGAACTTTCTTTATATTCCGGCCATTTGCGGAATAATGAGAAAAGAGTTAACATTTGACTAGCTCTTAAATCACCAAATTGTGTATAGATATTGATATTGGGATAGTAATCATTATTGTTAATAGTACAACAACGTGATGAATATTTTGGTAGCTTAGCAATATCTTCATCATCGTATAGCGGTACAGACGGTTGAGGTTCTTCAGCATTAATTATTAAGCGGGGTCCACAGCCAGGTATCCATTTTCTGTTAGCAAGAGTTTAGACAAAATTATATTTTTTCTCCTAAATAGATATAAGATAAACTTACTCCAGATTTGGTATGATACGATTGCGTCTGCTTACACAATTTTGTTTTACAAAATACCATAGTGAAGGCATATCCTCAGGTGCTACATACTTGTATATATCCCGACGCGGTACGATTCTTACCAAATATAGAAATTCAGGATTTACAGATCGTACCTGTAATTAAAAGTTAATAGGAAATAATTTATTGACAATTTTCGACAAATTAAAGCAACAATAATAACGAATATAAGTAAAAATAATGCAAATTCAATCAACTTACCCTTCCTAGCTTACTTCCTTTTGTGAAATTATACTCAGTTTGCGCGGGCAGAAATTCATCTCTAGGCAAACGAGCAATAAAACGATATTCAAATAACATTTGAAATAAAATAGAGGTAGATCGGTAGATCATATAACCAATTTCGCTGGTGCAAGTCAAATGCTTTAAAAAATATATGAAAAACAATAAATATTTAACAATGGCTAGTAGTTTTCATTAACCTACCAAATATATGGGAGGTGGTACCACAAAATACATCTCAGCTCTGCCCAGATTTAAGAAACTATTTTGAAATATAATCGAATTTATAAGGTGCTTAAAAAATTGATAAGAACCCACAGCTCCAAATAACAAGATATTAGGTTCTATAAAAAAACACACACAATAAAACATTATTTCAATAAATAAATACAAAAACACATTTCTTACCTTCTTCAAATTGCCTATTGGGTATATCACGTAATAAATCCTGTACTCTCGAGCCATTATCCATTTTATCTTGATAGACCAATTTCCAAATGTTTACCAAATCACCCTGTTTTACCTTTACTCGTTCGGGATATAAGGTATGCATTTCCTGTAAATTGCCCATAAAATAGTCCATAGTTTCCATTAAGATAATTTTCTTAAATTTCTCCTCATTATCTAAGAGACGGCGGGTGAATGCTCCAATACCGGGATTTAACTCCAGAATAGTATCACAAGGACTTTGTTGGAAAAAGGGCTCCAAATGCTTATTGATTTGATGAGCGGTCTGTTCATTAGTGATGTACAAGTGGGAGGGTGTCTTTTGTTTTTTATTGAGTAATTTATCGGGAAATAAGTCACCATAGTATTGCTTTTTTTGGGTGAAAGTTTTCAGTTCAGGTTTGCCGGTATATTTACGTAAAATGTTTACAGCTATAGTGTACTGTTGCAGGAGATGTTTGGTTTGAAACATCTTGATGGAATATTTATAAAATTTTTTCGATTTTCATAGAAAATTAAAAAATATTAGAATTCTTCTAACGCGCCGGTTGTTTGTTTATATTTTGTAAACAGCTGTTTATAAATTTTTGAAGTGGGTATGTTCAGTGTTGGTTGATTATGACGGTAAAACAGTTTCTATGTTATTGGGTAAAGCAGTATATATTGTAAGAATTTTGTACTGTAGTAAAATGTATTTGGGATATTTTAGAATGTTATTAGAATTTATTTTTATTAAAAATCCCAATATTTTTTTTAAACAAAAATATTGTTATTGCATTAACTAAATATATATTTAACAGATTTTGTTGCATAATTTACTCACATTATTTTGTAACGCTTCTGTTGTGCCTAATAATAACAACCCTGGATGTTTTCCATTCCAGTCAATCAGTGTTGCCGAAATATACGATTATTTGTACAATATCATTTATTGTTTATATTTGACTTTTTTATATTAAAATTTGAGTTATTAAATACAATAAATAAAATTTATATCTTTATTTTATAATGCCTTATGTATACAACTCTGCTACTTATCTTCCAGTTAAACTACATATGACATTTTTGTTGTTGTTGCATATTTCCAATTGTTTGCACTCCAAGAGTGAAAAAGAAATTTCCATTTTTAGTTCCAGTGTTGATGACAATTAGAGTGGTTGTAGTTTTTGTAGAGTAGCGGAGAAAAACTCTTTTTTTTAAACGAAAAATTTTAATTTTCTTTATTAATAAAACTAACTAAAACAAAGTGTTTAATATAACAATAAATAAAGAGAACAAATAAGTTTTCAATTTTATAAAAATAAATGTAAAAATTTAATTAAAAGTAAATAATCTTAAAGGAAATTAAGATAACAGAAAAAAAAAACAAGGAAGGAAGGCGTGTTCTTCTCTTTTAACCAACAACAACAACGTTGAATTGCAAGAAAAGTGGAAAAAGGTGTGAAATGTGAAAATCAATAACAAAGTAAAATACACGTTAAATGGTGAAAATTGATGAAAAATAATAAAAAAAAAATACAAAATATTATAGTATATTTAAGAAGTAAATTAAAAGAAAGTGCAGTGTTAGTTTAGTTGTTGCTGCAGCAAGAAAATCTTATTGTAAAGTTAAAGATAAAAAAAATCTAATAGATTTTCTAACAAAAGTATGTTAATTGTTTAATAAAAGTTAATAAAAGGGGTTACTTTTTTATTTCGTTTTAAGAAAAACTACAATTTATTGTTCGTAAAGTATTTTCAAAGTGTTGGCTTGAAAACTCTTTATAAAACGGTTGGTCTGACTGTTTTGTCTGTTTGACTGACACATCTTGCTTTTTTCTTTCTTGAGTTTTTGTTTGTTTGAATTCGTGACGTGAATTAATTACATTCTTGTTTTGGAGTTTTCTTGTTTTAATTAAAGTTTAACACACACAAAAAAGTGCAGTAAAAAAATAAACCAGAAAATTCAAACACAAAAAAACTAAAGTATTGTAACAAATTTTAAATTGAAAAAGGAAATCTACCATTTTGTAAATAAGTGTGTTAACTTAAAATAAAATTTATGCTATTTCGGCGAATAAGTTCAAAATAAAAACACAAAAATATACCTATTAAATATCTACAAATGTTTGCGGTATTTAGTTAACATCATCATTATTATCTTTATTTCTGAAAATATTATTTACTTATCTTTTTAAACTAGTAACAGATATCTTCTACCTATTCAGCATACATTTTATTTGTTTTTTTGCTGTTTGCTTAAAAAATTTAAACAAAATAAAATACAAAAAACTTGTCTTACAAAAAAATAGTATGAATCACACTTATTCCAATTAAATAAAATATCTACCACAAGATACCTATAAATAAATAAAAATATACAAAAAAAATGTAACTCAAGAAGTAACAAATTTGTTAAATTGTTGCTGTTTCTTTTTTGTTACTTACTCATTTTTTATATTTTTTTTTCTTTCATTTGTTTTTACTTCTCTTCCAATAAATTTTGTTTCCATTTTATTCCCTTAAAGAAGAAAGCATAACAAAAACAACTTTAATAATAACAAAAACAAAACTAAAAGAGAAAAAAGATTTTGGAGTAATTGTTTGTTGTTGTCGTTGCTTTATTGCAATTTCTTGTTCTTGTTACGAATTTATAAGGAAAAAAAAAAACAAAGAACACAAAATAAAACGAAAACAATAACACAAATATACAACAAAATAAAATAAAACAGCAACAATCATCTTTTAGATATTTAACGTAGCAGTCGACGTCGCAGCAACCGCTAAAATATAAACATCAACACTTATTCACACTCTACAAGATTTTAAATTTTTCCTCAACTCCTTCAATATGGTTGATGCCACGAAAAATGGTGGTGGTAAGTTTTTCTATATTTTACTGATTAACATATTTTAATATTTACATACCTAAGTAGGATCGAAAGAGTTTTTAGTGGCAATATTAAGCAAAATAGCTTACATCTGTCTGACCGATCCTCATGAAATTTGCTAGAAACACTTGTTTATATCATCTGAATACTTTTAAGTTATAGGTATGTACCTATACATACATACAGTGAATCAATTAAGTAATTTGCCTATGTAAAATTTTATAAATTTTAAGAAAAAACTTTATCTGAACAATTATTTTTAGCAAAATAAAGCAATATGCTTGTTGTAGGGTTTTTGTTATTTTTTTTAATATTGTTGCATTATTTTATAAAATTTTATATTTTTATTACACCTATATATTAGAATAACATTTTTTAGATATTTTAGTAGTGGAACGACTAAGTTTGGACATTTCTTAACCGATTTGTTATCCTATATACCTATAAGAATTTTTCAATATTTGACTTAACATGAAATCTATCGTTTCTTTGATTTAATTTCGAAAATAATAAGTAATTTCGAATTGGATACATGACATATTAGGAAATCAATGGATTTGGACATAGAAAAAAATATTAGTGGGGTATAAATCTATAGATTATAAAAAAAATAATCTGGGTTTTTGGTCATTTTGTATTGATAAACAAAAACTACATTACGGAAACCCCATCTATTTGGGGAGTACTGTGTGATTTTTATTTAGAATTGTATAATATTGATTCTTATTCAATAAAGCTAACACTAAGTACCATCCTAGCCACACTAAGTATGGGGATATCACCGTATACCACTATAGAACTATTACATGCAAGAATTTTGATATTCTACCTCATATTTTGAATGCATTATTTTATGAATAAAATACAGTAGGCGTAGCAGGATTTGGATAGTTATTCTTGATTTGGGTTCTAACTATATATAAGTGTATGTATTAGCTCAAAAATATTGCTTTTGTGGATCTTAGGTGATGAGAACCGCCTCTATTTGTAAATATCTAAATTAAGTATTTTTCCCGTACCACACGATAGTTCACTCTATATTGTTTCCAAGCAACCTAAGGTCTGTTTAGAGGTCTAAATTTAAACATAGTGTTCTTTTAAGTTCGTATATGGACTTTGGAGAAGATAAATGAGGACTTCAATGGTTTTTGCTTGGATACAAGTCGCTCTCTTTTGGTAGTTAAAGATTTTGAAAGACAACTCAGTGCGTCTTTTTAATAATTCTTTGTGTTATTTCATCAATTTCTATATTTTATATTTTTAATGATTGATTAAACATCTCATAATTGAATTTCATTGATTTATACTTGTTCTAAAAATCTAAACTAATTTTTTATATTGGAATTGCCTCATTATTTCCCTTTAAACATATTTAACGCAAATAACTACACAGTTTCACACAATAAGGATATGATTTTTGAAAATTACAATAGAAAATACATAACACGTGTCCTTTTAACAATAAAACAATAAATTTCAAAAAGCAATTAAAAAAATAATTTGAAAAACCCAACGAAATTAACTGGAAATTTCAATATGCAAAATACTTTATTGACGTGCAAATTCTGAAGAAGAATAATAAAATGCAACAACAAATTCACCAAAATTTTTATTTTAATATTTTTTTTCTTGGTTTTCCCATTCTACACAATCTCTATTTTCAATTGGAAAATATAAATTTACTTTTTACCTGTTTTTTTTTTTAATTTTATTTATGAACAAAAAACAAAATTCTCTTAAAAAAAGGTAGGCAAAAAACTTAGTTGATTCACTGTATGTAGTTTAATTTTTAAGCAAGCTATGAGTATAAAAGGAATTTTCTTAATGGAATCGATGTCCGATGTCAATTTTATCACTAATTAAAACTAACCTGTGAAAACGATCACAAAATCAATATACACTCCAATCCATTTTTTTAATGGAACACAACTTAAGAAATAATGTCTTAATAAAACAATTGGAAACATAGGTAGTTATTTATTCATAAATTTTACCCAATTCCCTAAATATTGAGTCATTCATAAAATTCTTAAAAAAAAAACCCTAATTGTGCTAAAATAAATCTACCCGAAGACGATTATAAATAAAATGGCAAAAATTGATAAGGCAGCAAGAAGTTAATTCAAAAAACGACTGCTAGCTCTGATAAGATAAGAAAAATGTACATAAAACTACAAGTAGAACATTTTTAGATAAAATTAAAAGAAATTTATAAAACAAAAAGAAAAAATAACATGATAACAAAACCAACACCAACAACAGATATGATGACAATTATGTATAAGAATTTATATACATATTATTTATAATTAAATACAAAGATTAGATTTTAGAACTAGGACCTTGTGATGAAGGGGTTAATAAAAGATTTTAGAGGCTATTGAACTAGCATTTTTTTAATTTGGAAACTTTAAACACGATTAACTTTGGACTGGGCATTAGTTCCCATCCAGCGATTGAAATTCTTAATCTGAGTACATTTTTTTCAGACTAACCCACATAGATTAGTGGATAGACTAGACAATAGAATAAATAGTCGAAATTTAGACCCTAGTCGATGAAATAATCTATAAGCTATTCAATAGGATAATCAATATTTTAGTCCATAGACAAGTCTATAGACTAGTGAATAGAATAGTAAATAGACTAGTACATAGATTAATCGATAAACTGATCAATAGGCTAGTCTGTGCTTTATAGACTAGGATAGCCAATAAACTGAAAGAAAAACTTTCGTAAAGACAACGTTTTTCTACGTTATATTAATGATGTAGTATAGAGTAAGTTTATAGAATAGTCAATAGAATTGCCAATAATATAGTCAATAGAATAGTCCATAGAGAAATCCATGTATGTCCATATAATAGTCAGTCCATGTACAAATGTCCATATAATAGTACGTACACTATTTCTAGTCTATTGACTAATATATATAGACTAATCTATTTACTTGACAATTAGTTCATACCCAGCAAAAACTGGGTAATGGCTTTCAGTTGTAATTACTTACCTATCAATATACTTTTCAATGACTACTACATATCGTTTGGATTACATAGAAGTAGTCTGATAATGTCTTACTAATAATGTGTTATATAACTAATTTATAATTCATTAGTAATCTTGCCAGTAAAGATATAGAAGCTGTATACGTTTTTTCATGCGATTTACAATGACTACTTTTTCTTATTACTTGTAATCGTTTGTGGTAAGTACTTGCCTCCAATGACATCACCATGTTAAAATAATGACTTAAAATGCTATTGTGTAAGTGAATTTTACCATTTTAATCCCTTACATGGTAATGAAAGTTTTTACTGGGTACTCTAGTCAATAAACTAGTTCATAGATTAGTCTATCGTTAGACTAATCAATTAACTATACTAAAGTTAATAGGCTTGCCCATAGTCAGTAGACTAGTACATATAATGGTCAGTAGAATTTGGGATAATTTATAAACTAGTCCGTGTATTAAATAGGTGTGAAGTTAAATTTGAAATTTAAACCCTAGACACACACCTGTTAGTTAACAGAGCCATGTTACGTTAACAGAGCTCTGTTAACCCTAGACACAAACCCTTTCTGTTAACTTAACAGAATTCTGTACTGTAAGTTTACAGAACTGGCTTTAAATGTTAATAATATCATGTTAATGTTATTTTAACATAATTTTTTTAACAGAGTTATGTTAAACTTAACAGAATGTTTGTTAACGCTGGAAGAAAGTTTAAAAATTACTACCAGTATCACATATACTCGGGAGTGGGCGGAAAAAATTAATAGAATTTACTCGTAGCCAGATCCAAAGGAATATTAAATGGTCAAAAATGTTAACAGTGGGCCTTTTATGTTTTTTTGTTCAATTTTCCAAAGAAATTTTCAAAAAATTTTCTTAAAAAAGGGTTGAAGTCCTTTTCGGACTTAAAATTGGGAGTGGGCGGAAAAACAGTATTGGATATCATTCCTAGCCAGATCCGAAGGAATACCTAATGGTCAAAAGTGTTAACAGTGGCCTTTTCTGCAATTTTTGTTAAATTTTCAAAAAAATTTTCTTAAAAAAGGATTTAAGTCCTTTTTGGACTTAAAATTGGGAGTGGGCGGAAAAACAGTATTGGATATCATTCCTAGCCAGATTCAAAGGAATACTTAATGGTCAAAAGTGTTAACAGTTGGCCTTTTCTGCCATTTTTGTTAAATTTTCAAAAATTTACTTAAAAAAGGATTGAAGTCCTTTTTGGACTTAAAATTGGGAGTGGGCGGAAAAACAGTATTGGATATCATTCCTAGCCAGATCCAAAGGAATACCTAATGGTCAAAAGTGTTAACAGTGGGCCTTTTCTGCCATTTTTGTTAAATTTTCAAAAAAATTTTTTTAAAAAGGGTTTTAAGTCCTTTTTGGACTTAAAATTGGGAGTGGGCGGAAAAACAGTATTGGATATCATTCCTAGCCAGATCCAAAGGAATACTTAATAATCAAAGGTGTTAACAGTGGGCCTTTTATGTCATTTTTGTTAAATTTTCAAAAATTTTTTAAAAAAGGATTTAAGTCCTTTTTGGACTTAAAATTGGGAGTGGGCGGAAAAACTGCATTGAATATCATTCCTAGCCAGATCCAAAGGAATACTTAATAATCAAAAGTGTTAACAGTGGGCCTTTTCTGCCATTTTTGTTAAATTTTCAAAAAAATTTTCTTAAAAAAGAATTGAAGTCCTTTTTGGACATAAAATTGGGAGTGGGCGGAAAAACAGTATTGAATATCATTCCTAGCCAGATTCAAAGAAATACTTAATGGTCAAAAGTGTTAACAGTGGGCCTTTTCTGCCATTTTTGTTCAATTTTCAAAAAAAAAATTCTTAAAAAGGATTTAAGTCCTCTTTGGACTTAAAATTGGGAGTGGGCGGAAAAACTGTATTGAATATCATTCCTAGCCAGATCCAAAGGAATACTTAATAATCAAAAGTGTTAACAGTGGGCCTTTTATGTCATTT